TAAAGTTGTTTTTGCCATTCAATATGTTGGAATAATACACTATAGTACATGCATAGCACAATGGGACCTTTTAATAAAGTAGAAGATAAACTGATGCATACAAATTAAAGATGGCGAATTGCATACGAGTTTGCGCAGTGGAGCCACAATCTGGGAAGAGATTCGTTGATCCAAGATTGCCCAGATAACCCCTTGTAGGTTGGGAGCGGATACTCACTAGTCTTCCCCCCCTCCCTCCTCCCCTCCTCTTTTTTCTTGATCCACATAATTACAGTTGTTTTCCACAAGCTGATTTCCTATGCAATTCCCAAATATGCAGGTGAATGCTTGACGCAAGGAACAAAGCTTGACCGTGTATACCAGTCTGTCCTGTTTCTGTTTGTGTTAAATAAAGCCTACACTTAGACATGATGGACTTGTGCCTTCATTTAGTTGGAATCTTTGATTGTAGACTCGTGAATAGTGTGGTTTGATGGACTGTCTGTTTGTGTTACTACTATTACCCGCTACTTATTCTAGCTATTGCATCTGCCATTCCTCACCCTGCCTTCACAGTGCATTTTTTCGATTGCTATATTGATGGACGTTCAATTGTTGAAAGTATATTGGTGGGCCTTGGTCCACCATTGGCCAGTTTAGTCTAATAATCTAATAATTACCGCACACTATAGTTGGGGGACATATGCATTATGCTTATGCCTTTTTCTTATTACCAAGATGTGATATAACTTATCAGTGCTACCCTTGATCATTTACTACTCGGAATTTAAGGGGTTGGAGCTTTGAGGTAAAGATCCTAGTCCTCATAAAGTGGGTACGCTATTGGACTTGGGGGCAACTTTATAATCAGCTCAGTTGACGATGCAGCCATTTAGCCAGTACCCGTTTCCCAGCAGTTAGCTTGTGCAAATTGGATTTTGTTAGGATCTTGATGTATCTTTATTTTTTCGAGTATAATATGGAACACGAAGTGAGAGTGTGCCATTCTCATTCAGATATCAATCTGCCCTCCTCCTTATACCTCGGTGGTGGTGGTGGTGGTGGATCTATTGTTCTAACCATGAGGTGGGGTTCAAGGGCGAGGTGGGGTTCAAGGTAGGAAGGGCCTATGCGTAACTTTGGATTGGTGGGTCAGTGCTTGCTTGAGTATTTGATGCTGAAGGAAGCTAGACGTAGGACTATAAATGAATCGAGTTGCTCCAGAATTGCTCAAACTTTCTTGGACTAAATCCCACTAACTTATAAAACAAACCACAAGCATGAGTTCGATTCTAAACTTCATATAATAAATGAGTCATGCTTAAACATTCAGACTTGACTTACCTCAAACGCGATTTTGAACTCAAATTTATGCCTGAATACAAGATTGAATACTATTCATCCAATCAAACAAACCAAGTTGAGCGGAATCTGAATTGGGGAAAAAATATGAACAAGTTGAGCTTGACCAAGAGATTTGAAAATTATTATGATTCCAAGAGTTTTTACAAACCAAAACCAAATAATCACGAATTCTCGTTAATTCGGTTCATCTGCATCCTTAATAACACGTCAATGTCTATCAATTCTTAGGCTCGTGGTATTCAAGCCATTTGTGGAATTTTGGTTTTTTTTTGGTTTGTTCACCGTTAAAAGAAATGAAAAGTTCCTGAAAACTTGTTCACCTCTTCCTACAATTGCACCCTAAAGTCAATATGATTGATAATTAATTGACTTGCTGCACATGAGCACATGGCATGCTGTAGAAATATGTCCCGTCTTTGATAGGTGCAGCTTGAGTTGGGTGAAATTTGGTACACAATTGATTCTAGCGTGAAATGTTGCAGCATAAAACAAATCAAATTATTTGGACCCAGTTAAAAAATCGGATTATTGGAGGCTCAATTGGGTCAATTCATCATATTTTGAATATATTTTTAAGATCATCAATTTTTTGAACTTGAGTTGAACTCAATGCGATAAGCTAATTAACCTTTAAATACCATGTTAAATCAAGCAATTTGAGGTCGACTTTAAAAGAGCTTGTTTATGATGGGTTGTAATACAAATGAGTCTAACTTATAATTTTTTTTTTTTGAAAAAAAAAAAGAATTCTTTAGATGTCAAACTAGGCTTGCATAATTTATTATTCAATTTGATGTGACGTAATAGAATATATATGTGTTTTTATTCTTTGGGGTAAAATATATATATTTGATCCCCAAATTATGTATTTTATGTCAGTTTAGTACCAAATTTTTTAATTGTGCCAATTGTATCTCTCAATTTTTTAATTTATGTCACTTTGATCCAATTGAAAATGACAGTTCAAATTTGCTAACAGAGATCATCACATATATTTTACGTGATCACACATGAGGTATATTCTATGAAAATTTTAGGGACTACCCCAGACATAAACAATAAACTTGAAGGATCAAAATAATACAAGTTATAAATTGAGGAATTAAAAGTGACCCCTTAACTGCGGTGACGTGAATATCTATGTAAGTCAATTTAAACTGCAGTTTTTGATTGAACCAATGTGACATAAATTGATAAGTTGTGCGACTAAATTAACACAATTCAAAGATTGCTATTTGTTAGTGCTTTCTTGTTCTTTGTTCCATTTGTTTTTGGTTGGCATCTCAACCTAAAACCAAAGAAGCCATATGATATTTAAGCATTGTCCTATGAAATTTTTTATCGGATTACAGGTTTACATTTGACTTTGATTGTTTCAACCCTTTTATATATGTGCAAAAACTAACAGCAATCTTTCAATCTTCAATCTCCTACTGGTATATTCAATGGCTGTTGGGAGATCTCAAGAGGCTTCCTCTTCCATATCGCGATATACATATCATGTGTTCTTAAGTTTTAAACATAAAGACACATACAAGACCTTTACCGATCACCTCTATACAGCTTTTGTCCACGCAGGAATTCACACGTTTAGAGATGATGAAGAACTTGAGAGAGGAGAAAATATCAAGTCACAGCTGTTAAAAGCAATCAAAGAATCAAAGATTTCAGTAATTGTCTTCTCGAAAAACTATGCTTCTTCACAACGGCGCCTTGATGAACTTGTCAAAGTCCTCGAATGCAAGAGGACGGTTGACCATGAAGTTTTGCCTGTTTTCTACGATGTGCTGCCACACCAAGTTAAAGAGCAGACAGGATGTTTCGCAGAAGCATTTTCGAAACATGAAAGGCTACTCGATGCAGAGACAGATGAAAGAAAGATTGAATGGATGGAGAAGGTAGAAAGGTGGAGGGCAGCACTTAGAGAAGTTGCTGATTTAGAAGGGATGGTCTTAGAAAATCAAGCTGATGGGTAATTTTCTCAAAAGTCCTTTGCTTTACTTCATTTGATTGAGGACTTTCTTAATCAAGATGTCAATTAACCTTTAACTAAAGAAATTTCTTATTCTTCTGATGATTGGATAAAGTATTATTTTAGGCATACCAACTTTTTCTTTGCATTTGTTAAGTTTCAAAGGATCTTATTACTCAATTCATCTACACGAAAAGTGTGTTAAAATCCTTGTTTGACTTTGTTTCAAGTGCAAATAATTGATATTCTTCATCAGCATAAACAACAGTCTGTTCATGAGTTCTTAATCTCTCTCATCATCTTACAAGGTAGTGAAAAAAATTAAACATCATGAATTACCTATTTATCTTTTGTGATTCACATGAAAATTTTGTATTCACGTCAACTTATAAGATGGATATTGTGCTATGCTTTCCTCACAAATTGTAGGTATGAGTCGACATTTATTCAGGAAATTGTCAAAAAGATTAGGAGTAAACTGGACAGCATGGTCTTGAATGTTGCTCGCTACCCAATTGGAATAGATTTTCGAGTTAAAAGTATAAATTCATGGCTACAGGACCGGTCAACTGATGCTGTTATAGGAGTGATATGTGGAATGGGAGGAATAGGAAAGACGACTATTGCCAAAACTGTTTATAACCTGAACTTTGATAGTTTTGATGGTAGCAGCTTCCTTGCAAATGTCAAAGAAACTATGGAGCAACCCAAAGGTTTGGTTCGTTTACAAAGACAACTTCTTAATGATATTCTGAAGGGAAGAAAGGGAAAAATAAATAATGTTGATGAAGGAATAACTAAGATAAAAAATGTTATAAGCTGTAAAAGAGTTCTTGTCATACTTGATGATGTGGATGAAGTAAAACAAATAGACACAATATTTGGAATACGAAATTGGTTTTACCCTGGAAGTAAAATCATCATAACAACTAGAAACGAGCGATTGTTAAGGGCCCATGAATCATATCAGATTTATAAGATATATGGATTGAATGATGATGAATCGCTCAAGCTCTTCAGTTGGCATGCCTTTGGACAAGACCATCCTATTGAAGGTTTTGTGGAACACTCAAAAAATGTAGTCCGGCACTGCGGAGGGATTCCTTTAGCACTTGAAATATTGGGGTCTTCTCTATCTGGCAGCCGAAGTACAGTGGTGTGGGAAAGTGCCATAAAGAAATTAGAAGTGATTCCTAACAATGAAATTCACCACAAGCTTGAGATAAGTTATATGTCATTAGATGATGACTATGACAAGAAATTGTTCCTCCATATTGCATGTTTCTTTGTCGGAAAAAACAAAGATTATGTGGTCAAAATTCTCGATGAATGTGATTGCTACACAATAGTTGGAATTGAAAACCTAGTGAGCAGATGTTTGGTAAAGATAGAAAATGGAAATAAGCTAATGATGCATCAATTGATTCGAGACATGGGGAGAGAAATTATTCGCCAAGAATCACGAGATGATCCTGGGAAGCGTAGTAGACTGTGGCATCATAAGGACTCCTTTTACATTCTGAAAGAAAAAGCTGTAAGCAGGACACTTGCTTTGACTACCTGAGCAAACCAAATCTTCTTTTTAGCAATTTTAAGTTTTGTGCATTGATTCTTGTAACTTAAACCAGTTCACTTTTATTTTCAGGGTACAGAAAGAATTGAAGGTCTCATCCTCAACATGCACATGTTAGAAGATGAGTCTTCCTCAACATTCTTTAATGTTACTAATGCAAAACGTCATCTTGAAGACACTTTAGGTACATCCTTGCTCCCATACCGGGGTGATACATCAAAACGGCGTCGTCTTGGTTTCTTGTTGTGGCAACCTATGACCACTGTTTGGACAAAACTTTTTCCCATGCCAAATAAGATAGACTTGGATACTGATGCATTAGCAATGATGCAAAAACTAAGCCTACTCCAGCTCAACTATGTAAAACTCAATGGAGGCTACACAGAATTTCCGAAGAATTTAAGATGGCTGTGTTGGCACGGATTCCATTTGAAGTCTATTCCTAAGAATTTTCCTATAGAAGGCCTCGTTGCTCTTGATCTGCGAGAAAGCAGTTTGGAATACGTTTGGAAAGGAACCAGGGTATGATCAACTTTCCTCATATTTATTTCATAATCTTTTTATTATTTTTTTATGAGATTTTATGACATTTCTTCCTTTTTTCAATCACAGCATCTCGTATCATTGAAATTCCTTAATCTCAGTTATTCTTATCGCCTGACCTCAACCCCTGACTGCACAGGACTACCTAGTCTTGAGAGATTCATACTTAAAAAGTGCACAAGTCTGGTTAAGGTTCATGAGTCCATTGGAGACCTCGAAAGACTTGGTTTTTTGAATCTAAGAGGCTGCAAAAATCTGAGAAAACTTCCACGAAAACTTGGTCAGCTGAAATCCCTTGAAAAGATCATTCTCACTGGTTGTTCAAAGCTCGAATGGTTGCCTACAGAGCTGGAAAAATTGGAATCTTTGACAGTACTTCATGCAAGCAGAACATCAATAAATCAGTTACACTCCATTATTGGTGGGGATTATTCATGGCCTAACGTTATTCGATTTAGGGTCTCGAAATTTATTAAAAATGTGGATTTCTCTCTGGCTTCTTTGCCACGCACATTAGGTAAATTAAGTCTTGCGCACTGCAATCTTTCAGACGATACTATTCTCAAGGACCTAAGTTGTCTGCCCATGTTATGGGAATTGGATCTAAGCGGAAACCCAATATCAGTTCTACCAGAGAGCATCAAATGTCTTTCTATGCTAAAATCGCTTTCGTTAGCTAATTGCACGACTCTCAAGTCACTACCAGAGCTTCCATGCAGTGTAAAGGAATTTGATGTGGAAGACTGCAAATCATTGGAAAGAATGAGTATTCTGCCACAGTTTTTTAATTCATTAACATTCAAAATTTTTGAAGGTTGTGACAAACTAGAAAATGTTCATGGTCTATTCAAGTTAAAACCCTTAGGGGACTTTGATGTAGAAATGATCAATGATTTGGGTTTGGTTGACTTGGTATCCCTGGAAGATATGGAGGTAGAACTTTGCAATAATTTGACACGAACAATAAAGAAAGGTCCCGTCCAGGTGCTCTATTTCTCTCCTTCCTCTATCCTAAAATATGTTATCCATATGATATACTTATGTTTATAATAATCAAACAACCTTGTTCAGGGACTATATGAATGTGGTATATTCAGCACTTTCCTTCTTGGGAACAGGGTTCCGGCTTGGTTCAGCTATAGGTGTATGAGCTCCTCCATATCTTTTACTGTGCCTTTGCTTCCTAATCTCAGGATTCGAGGCTTGAACGTATGTATTGTCTATGCACGTTCTAACAATCACCACCGTGCTAATTTGCATGATTTCTATATCAAAATCAGAAATAAGAGCAAGGGTATTGACTGGATATATGGCCCAACGATCTATGGCAATGAGGACATGTTGTGGTTGAGCCATTGGAAAATCATTAATCAAGTGGAACGCGGGGATGAAGTAGATGTTTCGATGATTGTTGGTTATGGTTTTCTGATAAAGGAGTGTGGAAGCCAGATCATATATGAGCAAGAAGAAAAATGTTCCCAATCAAACAGTGGAGAAGATATAATCCAACACAAAATTTATCCTTATCAGAATGTTTTTAATGGGGATTTTTCAGCATATCAGAGAAGCAAAGGTTCTTATGTTCTCAGCCATTATGACTTGCATCCTGATTTACATTCCCCAGAGCAGAACCCCCCAAGTGATCGTTGGGATGACCCAGAGGTGTATGATCCTTCGATATGGGCCCCTATATTTGAGTCAGGTGCGCATCACTTACCTTTTAATTAACTATTAAACTAAGCCACTAATAAAAAAGCAACACAATTGCTTCAATTATTTGAGTTAACCATAAAGATTTGAATAAAATTCGCTTGTAGCATCGAAGAGCTTTCAGTTTTCAGTAAATTCAAAAATTGTGCAATTGCTCTTGCCAAGGATATTTTGTTTATGAACAGTCGACCAAGCAACTTGTTGAAAAATTTAATGATACGTACTGTGTACATTTACAGATGAGGATGAAGAAGAAGATGACTATGATATAGAAGAAGACGAAAAAGACGACGAGGATTTTTGAATTTGCATTTTTCAATAAGAAGTGATCAGATTCATCCAGGTAGAAATTTTTTGAAAATATTTTTTTAGCCAATATGCACTAGATTTTTTATGACATTTTCTGTAAAATATGTTGAAAACATTTCTTTGTGTATACGCAATGACCTTTTTATTTGCTGATCGTTTTGCATACGTGCATATGTTAAGACCTTTTTCTATATTGACTTTGGCAAACTTCCCGGGAGGAGGGACTACAATTTTTTTTTTCAATAAATAATTATCTATTTTGAGAGGGTGCAAAAATCTAAGAAGCTTTTTAGAAAAAATTGAAAGTTTTGGATTTCATAGAAAAGTTGTTCCGAAGAAACGCCTAGTTATTAATAGAATTCCTTGTCGGCTCTCTGTGAAATATTCGTTTGGCCAAAGGCTTCCAAACACATCATAAGCTAAACCGGTGCAGACGAATAACCAACCCACAATAAATAGGGAAGTTATAGTAATACTTTGAATAACCTAACAGAACCTTACCAGGCTTGACATGTCGTGAATTCTCTAGAAAGAGAGGGGTGCCTTCAGGAACGCGGACACAAATGGTGCATCCAGCAGTTTGTCTGAAGCTCTCTTTATCGTCTCATCGTCACCAGGCATCCAGCAGTTCGTCTTCTCATCTAAAGCTCGCTCACCAAGGTTGTTCACAACAACTTCATCTCTTTCACCAAGATAAGTCCTTAGATCTAAGGTTTTCAGAATTTTTTTAGTTTGATCGAAATTTTTTTGTTTGATTGAAATTTTCTCTTATGTCGATCTCTGATTTCTTTTAGTGGGTTATCTCTATTTCTTAGCTCCGATTTTTGGGTTTTGGACGTAATACCAGAAACCCATTTGATTACTCTGTTGAGATCTCCAAAGTAGCAAAAAATTCTTCCCTAAAAACATACCTTAATATGTAAAGATTCATCAATATAAGGTTTTTACAATTGATGGGTTTGTTGAAATTGGGTACTTGTATTTACTTTTTCTTCCCGGTGATATGATGCTTTAAAATATTATTTGAGCTTATGGATTTATGTAGCGTAAAATGTAAGAACCATGTTACTCATTCCTTCATAGGTGGATAACACTTTTCGTAATTGGTCTCTGGCTTGGTATATTAACATTCTATTATGTTTTAGAATTATATCGATGCTATAGATGAAACTCATGCTGACGCACGTGTACCAGTGAGTAAGCAAATCCCATACCGTGATAAGAAAGTTGAACCAACACAAAATGTCATGTGTGCATGTTCGTTTGACATGTGATTCACATTTGTTATGAGTGGTTAAGAAGGAACTACTAGTGACTCGAGAGTATTTATTGAGTCCATTAACAATCTATAAAACAATTTCCCAATACCTGAAGGAGGTAATATTCTTCATTGTAACCTTTCTTTCCATTCATAGAATTTATAACTTATCACTTACGGTGCATGTATACCATTTGCCAGATAAGTATTATGTTGTTGATGCTGGATATACGAACATGCCTGGATTTTTGTCCCCGTATCGTGGTGAGAGATATTATTTACGTGACTATAGAGGTAGTGGCTGACATCCAAAGAGTAAGATAGAGTTATTCAATTATCGTCACTCATTATTTTGGAATGTCATTGAGCGTTGCTTTGGAGTGCTAAAGGCTCGGTTTCCTATTCTCAAACAAATGTCCACTTACCCTATAAGAACACAAAAATACATTCCAAGAGCTTATTGTATAGTTTACAATTTCATTAGAATGCACGTTGCTCAAGATCAATTATTTGATGAATTCAGTAATGAAGAAAGAGTGGATGATAATGCAGGATCGATTTCACAGAACCCGATTAAAGTAGATATCAGTCAAGCTCAGATTCGTCAAATGGCTCGTGTGTGAGATTGCATTGCCAATGAGTTATGGGCTAGTGTTGGACATTGAAACATATGGTTTTTGGTGTATATGGATTGTTATCTTGGATGTTTGTAAATTATGGGATATATTTGTAGTATGGATGTTTACGAATTATGTATGCCTTAATATGTTATCCTTATATTCTGTTATTTTTACAGTTAAGCTAACATGAAAGTTTATGGTGTAAATAAGTTGTTCATAAAATAATTTAAAAATGTTTATCAAACAAGTTTTCTGTTTCTGTTTTCATTTTTTTTATAACATAAAATATAACCAAACAGGTTTTCGGTTTTCATTTTTCATAAACTGAAAATTGAAAACCAATTCAGTTTTTATTTTTTAAAAAACCTGAAATCCGAAAATGTTACCGAACAGAACCTTAGCGTAAAGGTTCCCACGAGAACAAATTTGCCAATATGTAGTACTCAAAAAGGACCTCAGGAGGTAGATCTCAGAATGTTTCCACTAGTTGTTTTGTAGTTTGTAATCAGAAAGTTTAAGGAACTCCATTTGTAGCTAATGCTTATGACACTATTTTCCTAATATTCGGTACTCTAACTTGAGTAAATTGCAAAAGATCCTTGTTAAAAAAACCTCGACATTCTTACCATAGCAATGACTATATCCTTCCATAAATTCTTATTTTATACCATAATGTTGTTGTGGACAAAATTAAACATCAAGGATTTTATTTTACTTTTTCATAAATTTATGAAAAAAAATTCTTATGTGCATATTTGTTTGTTGTTTTATAGTTGTCATTGGAATTTGCAGGTATGAGTCAAAGTTCATTCAGGAAATTGTTAGAGAAATAAGGAGTAACCTAAATAGCTTGGTCTTGAATGTCACTTGTTATCTAATTGGAATAGATTCTCAAGCACTGGGTGTTAATTCATGGTTGAGGGATGGTTTAGATGATGTTGTCATAGGGGTGATATGTGGAATGGATGGGATTAGGAAGACAACCATTGCAAAAAATGTTTCTAACTCAAACTATGACAGATTTGAAGGCAGTAGTTTCCTTTGCAAATATCAGACAACCATTGCGTTCCTTGTCTGTTTACTTTATGTTCAAGTGGTGCCGATCCTTATAGGATCTATGCTTACCATTTGCAATTACTATATCCGTCATGTTTAGCACTTTTTCCATTGGAGTATAGGAGAAAAGGGCCTGTGAGGTGGTGAGATGAATATTGTCGCAGATTGTTTTCCCACGATCATGTCATTTACATAAGTGCGTTTGATGGAAGTATAAGTTGAAGGTGAAGCTTCTTATCTCGCATGGTTTTAGATTTCTCTAAAAGAAGCTTATTTCTATATGGCTGTGTTCATTTATTCCTTCATATCATTTCAAAGTTAACAAGGTCAACATTAAAATCAGAGAAGATTTTGTATTTTTTGTTAACAATGAGTATAATTTTTCAGTTATGTCTATTGACTACTCTATATTAGGAATCTACGAAGGGTTCATGTTACATATTGTACAAAATTACTTGCTTGAGTTAAAATTGTTCAGCTCTTATCAGCACAGTTAATATAGAGTTACTAGTTATTGCCTATGTCTAAAGGCACAGAGCAATAAAAAATGGTAAATTAAATCACAAATATAGAGAAAAGATAAATGAATTTAAACATCAGTTTGTAGTGAAGGTGAGAGATGGTGGGTGGCAGTGGTGGTAGTAGGAGACGGTGATGGTTGTGGTGGATGACAATGACCGTGGTGGCGGTGACGAGGGAGGCGGTGATGGTGATGGTAGTGGCGACGGGGCGGTGGTGGCAGTGGTGGCGGCTGTGGTAGTGGTGGTGACGGCGACGATAGCAATGGTGATGGTGGCGACGACGACGACAATAATGGTGGCGGCAGTGGTGGTGACGATGACGACGGTGGTGGTGGCGACAGCGGTGATGGCAGCTACGGTGGAGGTGACGAAGGCGGTGGCAGTGGCTGTGGGAGTGGCAGTGGTGGTGGTGGTGGTGTTTATGGTGGCGGCGACGACAATGGTTGTGGTGGTGGTGGTAGAGGTAGTGGTGGTGCGGTCTCAAACACAATTTTATTTTTAAAGTATTTATAAAAAATAATTTCTAAAAGTACTTTTAAAAAAGTCACTCCAAACAAACCGTTAAAGACCTATTTTTCCTATTAAATTTAGAGTGTTAAGATTAGCCGTTAGATTAACTTTAAAGTAAAATTTAAAGCGATCTTAACCGCGAATAGCAAAAATCATTTTGTCTATCTTTTGAGATTTGAATTGTAAACTACTTTATTATATATACTAATTATTGCTTGTGTCTGAAGGCACAGAATAATTAAAAGCGGTAAACAATAAACATATTTGTATTCAAATCCAAAATCAAATCACAAACATAGAGAAAAGATAAAAGAATTTAAGTATGGATTTGTAGTGGAGGTGAGAGGTGGTGGTAGGAGACGGTGATGGTTGTGGTGGGTGGCAATGACTGTGGTGGCGGTGACGACTGTGGCCGTGATGGCGGCGGTGGTGGTGGTGGAGGTGGCAGTGGCGGTGGCGATGGAGGAGCGGTGCTGGGGGTGACCGTGGCAATGATGGCTGTGATGGTGGCGTGGTGGCGGCAGTAGTGATGGTGGCGATGATGGTGGTGGTGGTGGTGGTGTTTGCGACAGTGACAGTGATAATGGTGGTGGTGTTTGTGACAGTGACAGTGATAATGGTGGTGGTGGTGGTGGTGGTGGTTGTGGCAGTGGTGGCGGACATGTGGTGGTTGTCGTGGTGGCGGTAGTAGTGGTGGTGGTTGGAGACGGTTATGGTTGTGGTGGGTGACAATGACTGTGGTGGCGGTGACGACTGTGGCCGTGATGGCGGCGGTGGTGGTGGTGGAGGTGGCAGTGGCGGTGGTGGTGACGGTGGCGATGGAGGAGGCGGTGCTGGGGGTGACGGTGGCGATGATGGCTGTGATGGTGGCGCGGTGGCGGCAGTAGTGATGGTGGCGATGGTGGTGGTGTTTGTGACAGTGATAATGGTGGTGGTGGTGGTGTTTGTGACAGTGATAATGGTGGTGGTGGTGGTGTTTGTGACAGTGATAATGGTGGTGGTGGTAGTTGTGGCAGTGGTGGCGGACATGTGGTGGTTGTCGTGGTGGCGGTTTCAAAATCAATTTTTGTTTCCTAAAATTTTTATCGGAGGCAATGACATGTCAGGCTCTCTCAATTGCTTTGCATTTTCGTATTTATCTATGTTCATACACAAAAGATGGTTTCTTTGATGACTGAACTTCTAATTATTTTGTTTTGAGAGCACCTGCATTACTATGAATACTAACAACACTCAGAACAATTATTGTTCTTGAGTTGTAATTCAGTAGAATTAATTTTGGCAGGAGATGAACAAAAATGTGGCTTACAATCAAACTCGACTCGATCCAAAGGAGCTTGTCGAATTCTATAAAAAAAAAAAAATCTTGGTATGTGTTTCTTTCCCTCTTGATGGTTCCTGAATTGTCTTTAGACCATCTTCATTTCCATCCAAACACGGCTAATTTCTTCACCCAATTTTCTTCTGTGCAGTCCTGAATCTGAACTAAGCCAATTCATTTGCAGATCATGGAAAATTAAAAGTTGGCTCCATATATTCCTGCTCATTATTTTCTATGTCTGCATGTGGGAAAGTGCTGATGGATCGTCTTCCAAATTGTGAATGATGAACTGAAATAAGTATTACTTGTGTTGGTGTGTAATTTTTCGTGGAGGTGAAGATTTGATCTCTTTAACGGGATTTTGTGAATCATGAAATTTGGTGATTTTGTGAATCATGAAATTTGGTGATTTTGTGAATCATGGAATTTGTGGTTGTTTGGGATTGTGATTTGTAATACGATTGTTATTTGATTTAATTGTGTTATTTCAGATTGTATTTATAATTTGTAATATGGTTATTGGTGGAATTTGGTTATTTTGGATTGTAGTTTATATTTTGTAATATAGTAAGGTATCTCTAAATATTATATTTATTTGTGTTAATTTCTTAGTTTTATAAAGTTATATAGCATTTTTAAATAAACAGGTAAATGAGTTAAATGAGTAATTTACCGTGTTAAACCGACCCTACCCAACTCGACACATTTAAAATTAGATGTGTTAAATGAGTCGTGTCGTGTTATCCGTTTATTAAACAGTTCGTGTTTGTGTTTAGATTTTTTACCCGTTTATTAAACGTGTCGTGTACGAGTTTACATTATTACATGTTTTTCACCTTTCACCCGTTCAACCCGACACTTTTAACACCCTTAGGAGTGGTGGTGGCGGCGGCGGCGACGACGGCAGTGGCGGTGGCGGTGGCGGCGGTGGTGGTAGAGGTAGTAGTGAGACGGTTTCAAACACTACTTTTTTTTTAAGTATTTATGAGAAATAATTTCTAGAAGTATTTTTAAAAAGTCACTTCAAATACACCCATTAGAGTCTTATTTTTATTATTAAATTTAGAGTGTTAATATTAACCGTTAGATTAACTTTAAAATAAAATTTAAAAAGATGTCAATCACGAATAGTAAAAGTCATTTTATTTACCTTTTTAGAATCTTTTTATAAAGAACTAGATAAACTGATGCATACAAATTAAAGATGGCAAATTGCATACGAGT